ATCAATATATATTAGATATATGCATGCATGAAACAAGCTTATCGTATGACGTTAGATTACCAAACTATTTATCAAAAAGGAAAAAAAAAAACAGATTACCAAACTTTTTTTTTTCAGATTACCAAACTTATATATTTAAACTAATTGGCAGTGAATATAAAATCGAATTTATAAATTGAAAACACACATTGATAAACAAATATATGATATGCCTCCTCCATATGAACATATTTTTACAAGAAAAGGATTTTCAAGAATCATGAACTAATAAGATAACTTTAACAAAAAATGAACTAATTAATAAGATTAATCTACACATCTTGGTACCGGTGCGATATAAAAAATACCAATTGACTAATAAACATGTCTTGGTATAAAACCAAAAACATGTCTTGTCAATTGTCATAACCAGTCCGATAAGTGGTTGTGTCTAGGCCGATTAATATCTGGTACTACGTTAATCGATTTTTTTGTGGTTTCTTTATGTTAATTTGTTATTTGTTAAGCCATTAAAATGTAAAAACTAGCCGCAAATATATGGAGAAAGTATAGTTTTAGATTTAAGTGATTCAAGTCTAATCGTTGGAACACAAACTAGTCTGTATGTGCGGACCAAATTTGACTGTAACGTTTTGTGTAGCTAAAAATATCTAGTGTCAAACAAAAAAACTTATTTTTGTATCACAATTATCTTGGAGTTTGTAAAGATCATTTAATATAATTTAACAAAAATGTTTCCCGGTTTGATGTTGTCAAATGTAGTAGAAATAATTTACGTGTTAACTATCTATGTTTTTAAACCAGAGTCTCGAAATCCGACGGATCAGTTCAGAGATTCAATGGAAAATTTAGTGGAGAATACGAGAAATTTCTACATTTGTTGAAAAGTTTCAATATGATAATCCAAAACGGAACAAGGCCCAAGATGATAATTGGGCCTTAAATTAAAACAAGCCCTAGAGACAGAATCAGAAACTGTTGGGCGTGAAGGGAGAGAATTGCAGAGCAGAGGAAACAAAGCCCAAAGAGTGTTCACATTTGAATAAAAAGAGGAAAAAAAAGTTTTCAATAATGAAAGAAATTTCACAATTAATTGATAGCAAATTCATCACATAAAATATAGTTTATAAATGGATATATTTCGACACGGTTCCATTATCCTGAGGAATGATGATTTAGTCATCGATCGAATTTCACATCTAGAGTATATATATCTTAACCATCTTGAATAATAATACCAATACTTCTCCAGTCACAGCTAAGAAAGTGTCGAAATCTGAGTTGTGACTTGTGACTTGTGAGACACTAACTGAGAAAAAAACTATTATTTTATATATGTTGAAAACGGAAAAAATATTCGACTGAATACCGTTTTAGATAAATTAGCATGGAACGTTGAAAAAGTTAAGTCCAATAATTTCTAGAATGTGTAATTAGTTAGTAATATTAATAGAACATTTACCAAATATGAAAATAATTGTCAGAATTAACGTAAACATTGATTATTATTGATGAGAAAGGTAGGTAAGAAAGACTAGAATGATTCATTTTGAAAACGTTATGGAAATATAAAATCGTCCATGGATTTGACGACTTTTTATTATTGTTTTGCTTAATTAAATCTTGCCGTTGGTCGTTTTGTTTTGTTACCTAATAAATGCTGGGAAAACTAGTTAATTTTGTAAGAATCCCGTGTGCGTAAACATAGATGTTATCTAAAAAGATTACTAGTGGTTCCTCGACAAACACAATTATTATAGTTTATGCACTAAGAACCAAAAAACGGGTGCGTTTTAAAATACTCGATCGCATGTGTTGTGACCACGAGCTCACTACGACTCGGTCACTTTGTTCTTTCTGTAATATAATAAAAAAATGTTGAGTTACTTTGTTTTCTCCGTCGTCGTCTAAGGCATTAAACAAAACCTATCCAACCTTATTTTTATAATAAATAATTGGCATGATCAAATCTGAGTTCTCTTTGGGATGTATAGGCTATTTATTTGGTAAGAGTTTCCCGCAAACTACTTTGGATAAAAGACTTGTTTCGAAACTTAAAAATCCACATACACATGGATTTTGTTCGAAGTGGAATGAATCCATATATTTACCTTCAAAAGTGAACTATTTTGAATTTAAACACGAATTATATATACCATAATCGCTCGCCGTTGGTTTTACTTTTTGTCATTTTTTTTATTTTTTTTTTTAAAAGGCCACATGTGTTTTTTACAGCTGAATTTTATTTTAAGAAAAAAAGTAAAGAGTAAAAAGAGCAATTCAGGTGAGAGAAATCAGCTTCAGTCTTCTTCAGCTTCGACGATTTCTTCTCCATCGTGAGAGCAAATCTTCTCCAGAGAGCCGTATTGTCTTCTTCTTCTTCTTCTTCCTCCCCGCGCCGTCTCTCATCGTATCAATCAATTGCTTCCTCCTCCAAAGTAAGCTTCTTCGATTCTCCTCTTTAACACAATCATCACAGTGTGCTTTTACGCTTATCCTCTGGTTTCTCTGTTTTTTTTTATCCATCTTCACTAGCCGTTATCGTAGAAACTCTTAACCTAAGATTAGATCACTCACTCACGATTCAATCTGAATCAATCTGGATCTGAATCTAACTACGCATCGTGATTCAAATTTCTAAACTTTGCGTCTTTGTGTGTGATTTTGGCTTTTTTTTAATGGATTTTTACAGTTTAAACAATGGAATTGGATTCGGAGAACAAATTGTTGAAGACGGGTTTGGTTATAGTGGCTACACTTGTTATAGCCAAACTCATCTTCTCCTTCTTCACTTCTGATTCCAAGAAGAAGCGTCTTCCTCCTACTCTTAAAGCTTGGCCTCCTTTGATTGGAAGTCTTATCAAATTCTTGAAAGGACCTATTGTTATGCTTAGAGAGGAATACCCTAAGCTTGGAAGTGTGTTTACTGTCAATCTTCTTCACAAAAAGATTACTTTTCTTATTGGTCCTGAAGTCTCTGCTCATTTTTTCAAAGCTTCTGAGTCTGATCTTAGTCAGCAGGAAGTGTATCAATTCAATGTGCCTACTTTTGGTCCTGGAGTTGTTTTCGATGTCGATTATTCTGTTCGTCAGGAGCAGTTTCGGTTCTTCACTGAGGCACTCAGAGTCACCAAGTTGAAGGGCTATGTTGATATGATGGTTACTGAAGCTGAGGTAAAGAAATTTGGATTTTTTAGCTTGCACTTATGATGTATGAGTGAGTATATGAGTTTAGGTTCACCTTTCATGCCTCTGCTTCCTTATACTGAAATAAAACATATACTCGGTTTCATCTTTAACGGAGGACTTGATTCTCTGCTATAATCTTCCACTGAGTAGGTGGTGTGTGTTTTTTTTGGTAGTTTCATTTATAAATACTTGTCCTTGTTCTTGGCAGGATTACTTCTCAAAATGGGGTGAGAGTGGTGAAGTTGATCTCAAGGTTGAGCTAGAGCGTCTTATCATCTTGACTGCAAGTAGATGTTTACTTGGTCGAGAAGTTCGTGACCAGCTTTTTGATGATGTCTCTGCTTTGTTCCATGACCTGGACAATGGAATGCTTCCCATCAGTGTTCTCTTCCCATATCTCCCAATTCCAGCTCACCGCCGTCGTGACCGTGCCCGAGAAAAGCTTGCTGAGATTTTCTCAAAAATCATTGGGTCGAGAAAACGCTCTGGAAAATCAGAGAACGACATGTTGCAGTGTTTCATCGAATCAAAGTACAAAGACGGTAGACAGACAACCGAATCTGAAGTCACTGGTTTGCTCATTGCTGCTCTGTTTGCAGGACAACACACGAGCTCTATCACTTCCACCTGGACCGGTGCTTATCTGATGAGATACAAAGAATACTTCTCAGCTGCTCTTGATGAGCAGAAGAACCTGATTGCGAAACACGGAGACAAGATCGATCATGATATCTTATCCGAGATGGATGTTCTCTACCGCTGCATAAAGGAAGCTTTGAGGCTTCACCCTCCATTGATCATGCTCATGAGAGCCTCACACAGTGATTTCAGTGTGACAGCTCGGGATGGAAAAACTTATGATATCCCAAAGGGTCACATCGTTGCAACCTCTCCCGCATTTGCCAACCGCTTACCGCACATCTTCAAAGACCCAGACACCTACGACCCAGAAAGATACTCCCCCGGAAGAGAAGAGGACAAAGCCGCAGGAGCATTCTCATACATTTCATTCGGAGGAGGTAGGCACGGGTGCCTTGGAGAGCCGTTTGCTTACCTGCAGATCAAAGCCATATGGAGTCATTTGTTGAGGAACTTTGAGCTTGAGTTGGTTTCACCGTTCCCTGAGATCGACTGGAACGCTATGGTGGTTGGTGTTAAAGGCAATGTGATGGTGCGTTACAAGCGGCGCCAGCTTTCTTAAAGACATGTTTAAGGTTATTGCAACTTTGATTTATTTTGTGGCTTCTGCTTTGCTATTGTCCCTCTCTGGTTTTAGTTTTGTTGTTGAATGGTTCTTTAACTGTTATTGCTCTTTGACACTTATTTTCAAGCTTTCTAAGTTTGTTGGTTCTGCAAATGTGCTAATTCAAATGCCTAATTTCTTTGGTTTAGGCTCAATTACTAGTTACTACTACTCGAATATTCTAATCAATTAACAACAATGCGAAGGTCAAGCAAGTCATCTACCATTAAAACAAAAATGTTTAATTGGTAAAATTCTATCTTAGGAAGAAAATATTTTTGATTGTGGCAAATAGTTTGGACCATCTCATCTTGTATACTATAGTAGTATAATATATAGGAAAACAACTGGTGCAAAAACAATTACTAAAATGACATATTAATTATAGTAAGATATCTGTTAAATACTTGTTTTATTCAATATATCCAAAATTATCTGATTATTAAAATGGAAAAAGTTCATAACTTATTGTGCTTTAAACTACACAGATGCGGTAAAGAGACCAAATCTGATACAAAATCATTGTCTTAGATGGTTTCGAAATTTCTTTCTTAATACTATACATTATGATTCAATGTAGATGTATTCGATTAATATGTCCCCATAAAATGGTTAAATCTTAATTTTTCATCGTGCCACTTATGAAAGTTTTCTTCTCTCGCATTACCAACGTTAAGGATCCACTCTCTCTTCATCACCAGAAAGAACACATCTCATCCGTCGCATATTCCACCCACCGAAGAAAACAACAACGGCCACCATTGTTTGGTCGTAATCTCTCTCGACAACCTCAATCAAAAGCCTTCTTCTGATCAAGGTCAAGGTTCCTTGGCAGAACGCTTTATCTATCAGGTTTGTGATCATTTGGTTTGGTTTCTGACATTTCTCTTGGTTAATTAATTCGAATATCTAACACGAAATATTTCAGATGGAGAGCATAACGAAGTGGGACTTGGGATCTCTCCGAACGTATTACTCCGTTGAACCTTGTGAGAAGTTTCAAGAAGACGAGTTTTTAGACATTAGCCTCGTTCCTCGACTTCAAGCGGAGTTATGGAAGGCTCAATCGAGAATCAGAGAGCTTGAGGCTGAAAAGTTTGGGTCAGAGGAAAATATTAAATGTTTCTCCAGACATCAAAGAAATGAAAGAGAAGAAACCAGTGATCCATTTGTTGATTACTTGAAAGAAAAGTTAAGCAAAAAGAGTGAAGAAATGAAAAGAGTTAAAGCTGAGAATTCTAGGTTAAAGAAGAAGATTTTGGACAGGGAATCATCAGTGAATCGGTTGAGAAGAGAAAGAGACACAATGGAGAAGGTGTGCGAGGAACTGGTGACGAGGATCAATGAATTGAAGGTGAATACTAGGAGGATGTGGGACGAAACAGAGGAGGAGAGGCACATGTTACATATGGCTGAGATGTGGAGGGAGGAAAGGGTTAGGGTTAAGTTCATGGATGCAAAACTTGCCTTGCAAGAAAAGTATGAGGAGATGAATTTGTTTGTGGTTGAGTTAGAGAAGTGTTTGGAGACGGCGAGAGAAGTAGGAGGAATTGAGGATAAGAGGTTGAGACAAGGTGAAGGTTTGATAAAGATGGCCAGATCTATGGAAGCTGAAGACAATAAGATTGATTTTGGGAGATTTGAGTTTGTGTCTGATGAAGATAATGTTTAACACAACACTAATGGTCTTGCAAGAAAAGTATGAGGATTACACCAAAAAAAAAAAAAAAGTATGAGGAGATGAATTTTTTTTTCTTACAAGTTACAACAAGCGTAATTTTTTAATGATTAATGAAAAGTATTATCTACATGTACCAACCAATATAGTTACATCAAATCCGTTAGATTGTAACCAGTGTAACGAAAAAATAACTTATCAATCCCAAAAAATAGTTATTACCAATTGGCAACAATTGGAACTAATCCGCATTACATAAATTCATCATAGAAGTATTAACGGGGCAACATATGCGATTTGATATGATTTTGCTCTAGTGTGGGAACCTACGCAGACGACCATTTGCAACAACTTTTCACGGTTTGGAATTTGAACCTCAAATATAAAGTAAAGAAACATTTGTATCTTTAGACAAATCATTAGGTCAAGTGTTACCATGATTTTTGGGACATGGTTACATGTAGACATGTCAATTAGGGCCAAAGCCCGCGGGCTAGCCCGGCCCAGTCCTGAAAAACAGAGGGCTCGGACTTCAAAATATATGTCCAGAAAAAATCGGGCCTTTCGGGCTAAGCCCGTTCGGGCTAAAGGGTTCTTTGGGCTTAGCCCGACCGGACTCGGGCTAGCCCGAAAAGCCCTTTAAAAAATATTTTGATCTTTTTTTTTGTTAATATTTTCGTTTAATTGTAAGATTTGTTGTAAAAAGAAATTTTGATAGAGTTGAAAACCCTAAACATAGTTTTTTCGTTATGTATTACTATAAATCGAAAAAGCAAATATTAGCTCTACTACCTAATTTGAATTATTTTGATATTATATTTTATCTAGTATAAGTTTAAACAATTTATTTGAATTATTTATTTGATTTTAACTCTCTTTTTAAAAAACTAAATTAGCGTTAGTGGTTTAAATTTTGATTGACTCGTTTCATATATAGATTTTTTTTAAGAGATATTATAAATTATAAGTTTGTTTTTTGTTGTCGGAAGAAAAGCCCAAAAGAGCCCGGAAAAGCTCTGTAGCCCTGTTAGGGCCGGGCCGGGCTTTAAAATATAGGCTCGGAATTTTTACGGGCCGGGCTCAAATATGTACGGGTTTTGCGGGCTTCGGGCCGGGCCGGGCCGGGCTAGTCCGATTGACATGCCTAGTTACATGTATAAATTTACCTTACGCCTTTAATTATTGCATCTTTAGAGAAAATATTTTTAAAAGAATTCATTGCATCTTTAGTTTTTAGAAAAGTAGTGCAACATGAATCAAACATTGTGATAAAAATTTGTCATTTTAATATAAAACAAGCATTTGTCAGTTAGAAACAAAGGACATATCATCAATGTCAACCTCTCTTGGATGTCTTTTTAGTTTTGTTGCTATTAATTGTGAACTCTGCATCGCATATATACATATATAGTGTTTTTTATATAAATTTTGTTTTAGTTTTTTTTTTCTTTGTCACTTGTTTTGTTTGGTTCTATATAAAATATATTTAATAAATATCATATTTGTCTATTTTATTTTTTGGTTGCTAATGATCCATGGAATCTAGAGATCCAATTTATGGCCAGCGTTACGGCTTTGCACATGGCCAATCATGTTATTTCTCTTTATATTTTCCAACTCCAAAAATTCCATTTCTCAATTGAATACTAAATTAAAAATTAGAATTATCTAGCTTTGTCCCGCTTCTGCCGGTTCAGAAGATTTGTAATCTCTCTAGCTACATTTCTAAGAATTGAACTTAAAAATTAGATATCCCACATGAGAAAGTTTCATATCCATTGTCAGAAAAACTTTAAATATATCTAATCTTATGATATACCAGAACTCCTCGAGGTTACTCACGATAGACATGCATAGGATCTGAAGACTGATGGATTCAATTGTTTGGTGCATTTCACATAGAACAAATAGATGTAAATCTTTTCTTGCATAGGATTGGATCATTTGTACGATATCGTGACAAAAAATTGATAAATAGCGTATACAAATATTTAATGTATGTAGATTAATATAAATACAGTAAGGTACAATTGCCCTAGCTAGAGGTGGTAGGGGTCTATTGTGGGGTAGTGAATGAGAACAAACACAATGACTTGTTCGTCTCTCAAAAAGACAACTACCTGACTTATTATATACCAATAATCTCGTCAAATTAAAATTGTTATCCCTACATTGATTTAGACGTACAGTATAGTTATATCGATATTTCCAGTGATTTTTCCTTTTTATTGTATCATCTTTTCACTATTTTTGTGTATTTCTACTTATATATGTTTTAGTTTTAGTTTTTTTTTTTCTTTTTTCTCTTAAGCATTATTGAGTGGAATATTTTTATGCAACCAATCATGACTCATCTATAGTATAATCATATATGTGACTGTGATGGATTTACAAACTTAAGAATATTCTTTCAATGTATAACATAATATTTTTATTTTATTTATAACATAATATTTTATTTATAACATAATATTTGATTATCTTTTCTCACATGTTAATCTAACTAACGTGGATAAATCAAACACTAAAAATGTGTTCTCATATGTTTATTCATATTATCTAAATTGAGTAAAGTAGACAAAAAGTTTTTTTGTATATCTAATTATCGATTTATTCATAATTGAAAGAGTATTTGTTTACGGCAAACATGGCATGAAGAATTCTGATACTTCTATTTCGTCATTCTATTGAACTGATAAATACATATGAAAAAATTACTCGAATTTACATACGTATAAGAATAAGCATAAAACGGAAATTTAGTTAAGGGATTTTTTCTTTTATTTTTAATATTCTATATTCTAACTAGATTTACAAAAAATGAAAGTTTTAATTTTTTAAAGATGAACTACTTTGCTGCTCTTAAATTATTTTCAAAATATTGGTTCAAAATAGGGAAAAAACGAAAAATAAGATGTGTAATTGTTTTAAACAAAATGTAGCTGCTATGTTTACGAAGTATGTATGATACTCTTCTGTCTCTCATTCTCAGCCGTTCAATGTGGACACAGTGGGGTCCATATCTTTCTTTGTACTAAGTTCGTCACAAGTGTCAAGTGGAAAACCTACTTTTAATTATCAATTAAAAGTTATTATTGAATGAAAAGCGACACCATTTGATTAACAATCAACAAAGCAGTTAATTAATGGTTTTAGTGTGAAATATACTTGAGTTCTTTTGGGTTCCACTTTGGATTTAAACACTGATATATGATTCCCTTGAACTTGACCAAAGTTTATACTCTTTGTTAAACCAAAACAGATATACCTTTAACAATTACTTTTTACTATTTTTAGTTTAACAATTTTAACCGCACTCCACCACCATTACAAAAATCTTTTCTAGCACTACTTAAAAACTTTGTTATAAGTCTGGCCATGTATCGTATATTGTAGTTGTGATCACCACAATTAAATGGCGAAATGCAATTAAAACATTGAATTATTAGAAAAAATTAGTTATTTATATTTTAAAAAAATTAGTGATTTAGATTTTTTTTTTAACGTAATGTAAACATCAACATAAATAGGAATACATTTTATTTATTTTCTACAACATATGGATATATAGATTACGATACGATGATGACACTACTACAAACCCATAAATTGGTATCATCTTATTGCAAACTTAGTTGCACAGAAACAATTTGGCTAAACTTTTGATCTTGCAACAAAACTTATTGTGAAAAAGAAAAAATTTCTCGTGAACAATTTTTTCTTACCAAAACAAGCGATCCAAACTTTGCAACTTTTTCCCCCAATTTGGCAAGTTGACAATAAGTGTTTCCATAGACTTAAATTATTAACCAAAAAAAAAAAACAAAGAGAGAATCCTCGAGTGATTCACACGCGCCTCTCGGTAGCGCGTCACGTGGCATGTCTCGTCTTATTACAGCGTATCCAAATTGTTTATCTGTTAACTGTTACGTGTGGGAACTCTATGATTTATTATCCACATTAATCAAACCCTCAAATATTTACATTTACCACCTCCTTATTTTATTTTTTTCTAAACCGATCCCTCTACTATTCAGATTCCAGATATGAGATCACAAAGATTCTTACTTGATTTGACGAAAGACAAAAGAGATGGTCTAAATTCAAAATTCGTTTGCGCTTATTAGATGGCAGAATATTAAACACATTCACGAAATTACGTACTACCCTTTCGTGCAAACTTTTTCCATCCAAAAGTTGGTTATGTACATTAAATCCAACGGTGGAAAGAAACTCTATCAAACAAGGACCGCTAGATTTTTGAAACTAAAAATTAGGGTTTATTACTTAGGAAGATATCTTATGGGTTATTTTTGTAAGAAACTGATAATATAGTGGTATAGGTGAGATTTATTAGTCATTTCACATTCTTTTGGACTCTTCTGCTTACGAAGATGCTATATATAGTCGTCCATTTCGCTTCGTTAAAACTTATAGCGAAATCTCTAATTACTTAATCTCTGAATGTTGTTTAAGATAATAATAATCTAAAAGTGATTTAACTAAACGATTAATTTGTGGAGATTAAAAGAAGTTTCAATGGCAAGAGGTCGAAAGCTGACAACGAGCCAGAGCGAGAGGTATCTAGGAAGCAGCTACAGTTACGGTGACAGTAACGGAAACTCCGTCACCGACGAATCAGAGCTCACGGAGGAGGACATCTGGTCACATGCCGTCGATCACAGCCCGGAGATGCTGGAATCTCACGGCGCGTGGAACACACGCGATGCTGTGGTGAGGAATGGGCGCGTGGGTGGTGGTTTGTCGCTGGCGTTTGAGGACGCGTCATCTTCGCCGAGGATCGTGCACCAGATACGTGGCGGAGGAGAAGGAGGAGGCGGTGGAGGGGGAGGAGGAAGAGTTGAGAGGCAGTTGGCGTCGTCGGCGCCGGTGAACGTGCCGGATTGGAGTAAGATTTACAGAGTCAACTCGGTTGAGTCGATACACGAGTCGGAGGAAGAGGAGGAGGAAGATTCCAGGATGATGATGCCGCCGCATGAGTATCTTGCGCAGAGCCAAAAGCGGCGGAGCAGAAAATCTGGTGGCGGGGGCTCTGTGTTTGAAGGAATTGGAAGAACTCTCAAAGGACGAGAATTAAGGCGCGTTCGAGACGCGATTTGGAGCCAAACAGGGTTCTACGGCTAAGTTAGTAATATATAATTTGAAAAAAAAAACATTTTAAAACAAAAACCTTTGAAAAATATTTTGCTTATTTTGTCAGTTTAGAGTTAATTTTGCAACTTTCTTGAATCCCAAGCTTGAGATGTATAAGATTTATAATTGGCTTCCCATGCAAATGCTTTTTCTTTTTTTACTTTTTAGATTGATAAATTAATTGTGGAAAAATTTTCAAGAACCTCATGTGCTATGTGTATAATTTTCTCTCTTTTTGTTGTGTTGATTAATTTAAAAAAAATCAATTACGGATTTGCCATTTTTTGGGATGACATTTGTGGATTTTGCCATTTTTTGAATAGTTTATGGATTTTACCCTTTTTCAGACTACGGAAACATGCGTTTTAGTCGTTATGTTTGGGTTTAGTCGGTTGTGGTTGTTCTTAGGGTTTAATATTTTGTATAAACTACGTATTTTTACCAAAAAAAATCCGAAATACGTACATTTTTAAGTGTTAGAAAATGGCAAATCCATAAGATTTTTGCAAAAATGGCATTTTCAAAAGATTTTGGTAAAAAATGGCAAAATCAACAATAATTCCATTAAAAAATTCAATATTTTAATGTCTCTCTAACACCCCAAAAGGCATAATAAAATGGAGATTCAATAATATATCATAAAAAGTTACTAAATAATTTTTAATACAAGGCAGATAGCTTACGATACATGCTGATTGCTGAGCAATAATTTCCTGAAAGGAACTTGATTGAATTTTTGCTTTCGAGTTTGAATATATTATAAAACATAATGGAATCTAACATGAAAACTGAAACTTTGAATTAGCAAACAAAAAACAAAAATTAACCTATGAAAATAATTACGTTATATATGACTCTTCCTCGTAGTGTTCATTTTTAGTTGTATATGATGTATAATATATATTAAACGTTAAAACCCGATTTCATATGTCATGTATCACGTAACAAGGATATTAATGATTGAGCACCGATTTTGTTTACAATAGTAATAGATTAAATTAGTATAGTATATTAGGTCTAGTTATTAATTAAGTGATAATTTGATATGATATGAAAGGGAAAGTTTGTATAATTAATGAGAACAGATGTGTCCTTGCAACATTATTGTGTCCACAGGTAAACTGTCCAAAGAATCCACTTCAAAGTGGGGGCACTCACGAGCCAGAAAAAGACACTATTTTCAATTCATTTTCCCAAATAAAATCATGATTGCTCATGAAATGGCATCTTCTTATATATATATACATAGACGTCACTGAAAGTTATAACATAGAAAATATTAATGATATAATTAATTCTGAATTGATATAGACTAATGAGACCTATATGGAGTGATCTAGTGGTTAAAACAAATAAATAACATGCACATAGTGATGCCAATTCATGAAGAAGTTTTCTTGGTGAATTTACGAGCAATAAGTTTGGCCAAATTTAAGAGCAATAAGAACATATAACATGCACAAATAAGAAAGAAAAAAATCTATAAGAAATTCATGAACAAACAAGAAAATATGATTCTTGACTTGATCGACTCGTTGAAAAATGGTTGTTAGAATTAGCGTAGGGGAATTATGTGTATTTTCAAGTATAACGAGATTAGGAGTCATCTTTTGATCTAATTAACAATCCCAAACATATAGTTAATTATGTGAATGTATCTACTACACTAGAGAGATATGTATTATATGGACATGAGGTTATGGAGGGGGTAGGGTATGGTTGGGGTCAAAAGAAAGTGACACAAGTTAGAGAGTGTTAAAGCATAAGAGAGGGAAGTTTGTCAAAAATGTTTTTGATCACTTTGTGAGTTATGCCTTTGCCTTTTTCAAGAAAGGACCTTTGAAAGTGAATTTGATCGATCGAGAAGTCTATAATTTCATGACCTAATTCATATTTGTGGGCTCAACACATCTCTTTCCACTCTTATCTCAAACTCTCTCTTCACCATTCACCACACTCTCTCTCTCAATAATTTGATTCCTTTAATTAAATTGATTCCTATCATTTATATATACAATTCCAAAATCATTGTTTCATGTAGAAAACTATAAGAATGCTCAAAATTCTAACTAATTAACAATATTTGTCAGCGAAAGTTACATATTATAATTGTCTTTTTGTGGAAAATATAATCCTGCAATAAAAGGACAAATGAAAGCATGTAAGTCTTAAGTATCCAAGTTGTGGTAGTTCAAATATGGTACTATGTGATGGGGTTAGCCGGTTAGTGATCACTTTCACTAAAAACAAATTTGATGATTGAAGAATTGGATAAATCTGAACTTTAAATTCAGATGTGTTTTCAGATTACTTTAAACTTCGATCCAAAATTCCGATTGAGAATTAAGCGGATCGGAATAAACCTTGCAAATCCCATTTGACATAACTTTGTGAAACTCTGGCCATTAGAGGAAAACAAGTGTGTCACCATTTCAAGTGATTTCAATTTCATTGCTGATACTGATACGTAATAATGGCTCTCAACAAGTGTGTGACTTGTTCAACTGCTCATAATATTGTAGGGGAATTTTTTCGATGTCATGCGGCCCAATTAGACTTAGACCCAACTTCGGTTATCGATGTCATGCGGCCCAATTGAGCCCATTTTAATGTATGACCAAATTAATTTCGGTTATCCTTAAACCGGTCATCTGGTTGGGTATTTAATCCCGTTATTCTCGCCAAGTCCTCACCTTTCTCTCTGCCGCCGTCGCCGTCGCCGTCGCCGGAATTACTCATCGTGGTTTTCAAACGCTAAGATAGAGGCCGGTGTATTGGAAGATAATGCCTTCGAATTCTACGTTTAAAAACCTCTGTCTTGATTTAGGGTTTTTGCTTCTAGGGTTTATCGTTATCTGAGTTTTTCCTTGTACCGTATGTTCGCTCACGTTTTCTCCAGAAGAACGAGCTTCCTGGTACGTTGCTTTCACGTCGCTAAGAAATTCTCGAATCCTGAGCCGGAAGACATTCTCTTTAGTGCTCTCTGTTTGAATTTAAAACAGAGAAGATGGAACACTCTTCATCAATTCTCCTCAAGTCTCACAAATCCGTTGATAAGTCGAGTTCTTCGACAGTTTCGAAGCTCGCCGAAGCTAGCTTTAGAATTCTACAATTGGGTTTTAGAGAACAACACTGTGGCTAAGTCCGAGAATCGATTCGAAGCCTCTTGTGTGATGATTCATTTGCTGGTCGATTGGAGAAGATTTGATGATGCTTTATCAATAATGGTGAATTTGATGTCTGTAGAAGGTGAAAAGTTGAGTCCTTTACATGTTTTGTCGGGTTTGATTCGAAGTTACCAAGCCTGTGGTTCAAGTCTTGATGTGTTTGATTCATTGGTTAGAGCTTGTACACAGAATGGTGATGCTCAAGGAGCTTATGAAGTGATTGAGCAGACGAGAACAGAGGGTTTTTGGGTTTCTGTTCATGCGTTGAATAATTTTATGGGTTGTTTGTTGAATTTGAATGAGATTGATTGGTTTTGGATGGTTTACAAGGAAATGGATTCTCTGGGGTATGTTGAGAATGTGAATACTTTTAATCTTGTTATTTATTCGTTTTGTAAGGAGAATAAGTTGTTTGAAGCGTTATCTGTGTTTTACCGGATGTTGAAATGTGGGATTTGGCCTAATGTTGTTAGCTTTAATATGATGATTGATGGAGCTTGTAAGACGGGCGATATGAGATTTGCCTTGCAGCTCTTAGGGAAGATGGGAGTGATGTCTGGAAACTTTGTCTCACCTAATGCTGTGACGTACAATTCGGTTATCAATGGGTTTTGCAAGGCGGGGAGATTGGATTTGGCGGAAAGAATCCGTGGTGAAATGGTTAAATTAGGTGTTGATTGCAATGAAAGAACCTATGGAGCTTTAGTGGATGCGTATGGTAGAGCTGGAAGTTCAGATGAAGCCTTAAGGTTGTGTGATGAGATGACGAGTAAGGGACTTGTGGCCAATACTGTTATCTATAACTCTATTGTTTATTGGCTGTTTATGGAAGGTGACACTGAAGGAGCAATGATGGTGTTGCGTGATATGGTCAGAAAAAGGATGCAAATTGATGGGTTTACTCGAGCCATTGTTGTCAGAGGTCTATGCAGAAACGGATATGTAGCGGAAGCTGTTGAGTTTCATAGACAGATTTCAGAGAAGAAACTCGTGGAAGATATAGTTTGTCACAACACGCTTATGCACCATTTTGTAAGGGATAAAAAGCTGGTGTGTGTTGATCAGATTCTAGGGAGTATGTTGGTTCACGGTTTAGGTCTCGATACGATTTTGTTTGGTACTTTGATTGATGGATACCTAAAGGAAGGGAAGTTGGAAAGAGCTATCGATATATATGATGGTATGATCAAGATGAATAAAACGCCGAATCTTGTGATTTACAATTCAATTGTGAATGGATTAAGCAAAAGAGGAATGGCTGGTGCGGCTGAAGCGGTTGTGAACGCTATGGAAAGCAAGGACACTGTAACTTACAACACGCTGTTGAACGGGTCTCTCAAAATTGGGAATGTCGAAGAAGCTGACAATATCTTATCTAGAATGCAGAAACAGGACGGTGAGAAATCAGTTAGTCTGGTGACTTACAACATCTTGATCAATCACTTATGCAAGTTTGGTTGTTACGAGAAAGCGAAGGAGGTATTGAAGATTATGGTTGAAAGAGGTGTTGTCCCGGATTCTATAACATATGGAACTCTGATTACATCGTTTAGTAAGAATCGCGGTCAAGAGGAAGTCGTTGAGCTTCATGATTACATGATTCTTCAAGGAGTTACACCTCATGAACATATATATCAATCTATAGTTCGTCCTCTTCTTGATGGAGAAAATGGAAGGCCATAGTCAAAGCCAATCAAAGCTTGTGTTGAAACTACTGAACCGGTCGGAGGGTTTGTTTTGGAGGTACTGTACGGATCAGATTCGTATCTAGTTCGTACACGTGGACCCTTGGACGATTCTTTGTAATCAACGGTCAGTGTTGGAAAAACAGGATCACTTAAGCTTAACGTGGACTTGTAAAGCGGGGATTGTCTGACACGTGGCGCTAATGCATCGGCCAAACGATTTCGTTGTCACGAGCTATTAACACGTGATTTGTAAGAATTAACCGTCCAGATTATGTAATATTGGTAGACACCGTAAGGAATATTATCTGAGAAGCAGACGAATATTTCTACAAGTTGTTTTCTGCTAGATGTCAACAAATCAGAGTACCATAGGTTTA